CCTGTATCTGCACGGCGTTGCCGGCGATGATGTTGGAGAGGGTCCAGCAGGCCTCCTTGCGGCTTTGATACTGTACCTACCAACCTGTATCTGCACGGCTATGATACTGTACCGATCTGTATCTGCACAGCTATGGTACTGTACCGACCTGTATCTACACGGCTTTGATACTGCACCGACCTGTATCTGCATGGCTATAATACTAATAGTGACTGAGTTTCTTGCGCAGCTTCTCAGCACTGGCCCATTTATTGTCCCGAAGCAGTAGGGTTAATACTAGAACGTGTAAAGTGCTATTTAAAAGCCTATTTGCAAAAATAAATGAGTTTTTTACTGTACAGACCTGTATCTGCACGGCGTTGCCGGCGGTGATGTTGGAGGGTCCAGCAGGCCTCCTTGCGGCTTTGATACTGTACCAACCTGTATCTGCACGGCTATGATACTGCACCGACCTGTATCTGCACAGCTATAGTACTGTACCGACTTGTATCTGCACGGCTGTGGTATTGCACCGACCTGTATCTGCATGGCTATAATACTAATAGTGACTGTTTCTTGCGCTGCTTCTTCTCAGCACTGGCCCATTTATTGTTCCGAAGCAGCGGTAGGGTTAATACTAGGACGTGTAAAAGTGCTGTTTAAAAGCCTATTTGCAAAAATAAATGAGTTTTTTACTGTACCGACCTGTATCTGCACGGCGTTGCCGGCGATGATGTTGGAGAGGGTCCAGCAGGCCTCCTTGCGGCTTTGATACTGTACCTACCAACCTGTATCTGCACGGCTATGATACTGTACCGATCTGTATCTGCACAGCTATGGTACTGTACCGACCTGTATCTACACGGCTTTGATACTGCACCGACCTGTATCTGCATGGCTATAATACTAATAGTGACTGAGTTTCTTGCGCAGCTTCTCAGCACTGGCCCATTTATTGTCCCGAAGCAGTAGGGTTAATACTAGAACGTGTAAAGTGCTATTTAAAAGCCTATTTGCAAAAATAAATGAGTTTTTTACTGTACAGACCTGTATCTGCACGGCGTTGCCGGCGGTGATGTTGGAGGGTCCAGCAGGCCTCCTTGCGGCTTTGATACTGTACCAACCTGTATCTGCACGGCTATGATACTGCACCGACCTGTATCTGCACAGCTATAGTACTGTACCGACTTGTATCTGCACGGCTGTGGTATTGCACCGACCTGTATCTGCATGGCTATAATACTAATAGTGACTGTTTCTTGCGCTGCTTCTTCTCAGCACTGGCCCATTTATTGTTCCGAAGCAGCGGTAGGGTTAATACTAGGACGTGTAAAAGTGCTGTTTAAAAGCCTATTTGCAAAAATAAATGAGTTTTTTACTGTACCGACCTGTATCTGCACGGCGTTGCCGGCGGTGATGTTGGAGAGGGTCCAGCAAGCCTCCTTGCGCAGCGCCTCGGTGTTGGAACGCAGCAGCGCGTGCAGATTCGGCAGCGGGTTGCAGTTCAGCACCGCTTGCGTCTGAGCGTCATTGCCTGTCACAATGTTGCCGACGGCTCTTAACGCCGCCGATACCACAGTCGACTTGTTATGCCTGGAAATTATCACGCCAAGTTTTAGGCTATAGACAGTTGGCTGGATAGCAGTTAGATTTATCACTATTTAGCTGCTGGATGACCTCTGCTTTTAGAATAGGATAAATTAATGTATTTGTATTAAGAAGGAAAATTTTACATTTATTCTTAGATACAATAGTAACAATTTCCTCTTCATAACTATAATTTACAAAGACTCCTTCAATATAACTTACATAAGTAGTTCGACGAGCCTTCGACATACGCCGGCGTCTATCACCGCCTGAATTTTCTCATTCGGCCCATCGGATAGGTAAGAAAGCGCCCAGCAAGCGTCGCTGAGCACATCTGCATCCGTATGATGTAAAAGCCGCGCTAATACTGGGATACCTAATAAAATACAATAAACAATTTAAGATAAAAAATGTTAAGTAATAGATTTATGTTTTATAAAGATATCTTACCTGGTGCAACAGCTTCAAAGTTTGTGGGTGGATTTTTTCCCCTACACAAATTTGACAAAGTCCACACTGCATTTCTAGTCATAGAGAGTCTTGTATATTTGTTCAGGATCCTGCAATGTATTATTAGTAATTCAGTACTACATAAATTTAAATATTATTCAGAAACAGTAAAAAATCAGGACTCAATATCACAAAGATAATATTTGTTGTTTTTATTGTTATTGTAATCATTTGAATACCAAATGCATTGGTTTATCATCCTTTCTAAATCTTTGCATACTTATTGTTAAAATGTCTGCAATCTTTGGGACATTTACTTACTCTATTAGAGGTGGTAGCACTCCTGCAGCCAGGACAGTGTCCCGACAGCGAGGGGAGTCCCCCGCAACGTTGCCCAGCGCCCACACTGCTTGCTCACGGACATCGTCACTGGCTCCGCTTGCTACGAGCCCTACCAACACCTGCACTGCTCCACACTCCACCACAATTTGAGTCTGCTCTGAAGACCCAGATGCAATGTTCGTCAGCGCCCATGCTGCTTCAAACTGCACAATCATAACACATTTAACTCTCACCCTGACGGGCAGGAAATTTTACTATCATAATAGATAAATCTTAGAATATTGCTTGTTTATAAGAGATGATTACACTATGTATGGTCATATTGACATTAAAATAAATATAAAAATTACCTGCAGTGTTGGATTAGAGCTATTAGTGAGAAATTCCACAAATTTTGGTACAATTCCAGTTCGTATAACTTCATCTATAGGAGGATTGGGCTCTCGACTCAGAAGTTTTCTAAACTTCTGTGTGACCATAACTTGCTCTTGTGGATTGTCCCCATAGAGAGCAGCTACCATTGCTGGAGTGATGTCATCAGTTGTAGATATATTGATATCATCCTGTAAGTAATGTTTATTTTAAATCAAATGGTACTTGTCCTTCCATTGTATCCTATTGAAGTGTAAATGTATACTGTTCATACCTGTAAAGCGATATCCGGAGCGTTGGCTGCAGGAAGGTTTACATTTCTACGTTTGAAAAGTTGTTGTTCACGTTTTTGTTTACGGAGCTGCACTCCTTCCTCTTCTCGACGACGCCGTAGCTCATCTGCACTCAGCCCCACATTCTTATACCGATGTTTGTGACCGCCAGACATCTAAAACATTAACTTTCTTTGTAATCTTTACGATTCTAAGGAAATACAATACTAAACAATGTAATGAGAAATAGAATTTGGCATAAGTAGGTAGTTTTGACGGATACTGCACAATGTCTTTAAATCCTTGACGCAATGAATTAGATTAATAACTAACAAACCTATAAAATAACAAAATACACTTCACTGTTGCATTACACACGATAAAAAATTGCGAAAAATAGAGCCATACGAAGAAACCAAACCTTTTTGTCAGTCTTTAGGAAAAGTGTTTTTTATACAACAGTAAACTTACTATTTGTGGAAAACGCTTTAAAACTTATAAGAACTCGCACGTTTCAATAATTAAACACCATCTAACAATAAAAAAGTCTTTTTAGAATAAAATTTGTAACCACGATCACGTCATTCAGACAGAGACAGACACAGACGGAGTTGACCACAGATTAAAAAATTGCACTGCCAAATGTTTAGCAAAAACAATGTAAAGTTATTATCCATTAGGTTGCAGAGAGACCATACTTATTACAATATACCTACTTCAAGTCGCGAAATCATAATTAAGAGCCTTTAAGCGCGAAATGAACGATTCGGTTTCTGCCAATTTCATTAATTGACGGCCGATAAAAAGTCTATAGTTCTAAAAATGGGGAAGATGCACGAATGCAGATGAAATTATAAGCTACAAGGACTTTGTGCCTGAGCCGTGAATAAAAAAAGTAAAATGACATGTCATCGTGACAGTTGACATTGACTGTATATTATGTCAAAACCACAGATGTCAAAAAAACGACCCTCTCGGAATCGGGAAATTCAGCACAATTCGGAAAAATATACAAAACAAACGCATATTAGTGTTTAATAGTTTGTGTGTATTCTCTTCGTAGATGCCAACATCTACACACTCTAATTACCTATAATAATCATTGAGTTATTATTGTAAAGATGAATAAATTCGCTCTCTTGCGATCATCCGTATTTTCCGCAGTTTGGAAAAGAAATATTATGTGTCAATCACCACTTCAAACGAATGTAAGAGGCCCCATGTCGACTGGATACAGACCAACAGAGTTGCAGAAGTTCGTATTAGTATGGACAAAAAAATTCAAGTCCAAGGATGAAATCCCGAAGTTTGTTTCGTATGTATCCCATTGATGTAAGCATAGGTAATTAATTACGTAGATACCTGCGATTTAAATTCCCACCATCAAACTATCTCCCTTCATAACACTTTTGTGATAAAACAAATATTTAACTTTGAAACTGTTCTTGCAAAACATTAAAAAATATTACATAACAATTTCTCATTCACATGACCTATACTAAACTGAGATTCCAGTACATACTAGATTCTTTCTTTTACAGCGGTGATCTGATAGATAGAGCTCGTAGTGAAGCAAGGATTAAACTTTCTAATATCCTCATGCTGATGACGGTACTGGCATGTGTTGGAGCTATCATCTCTGGAAAAAGTGCAGCTAAGAGAGGAGAATCAGTCCATCAAATGAATTTGGACTTTCACAAAAAATATCAGGAAGAGTACAAGAAGGCCGAAGAAACCAAAAAATAAAGGAAATATTTATTATATAAATGATAACTGATTAAGCTTGTACAGTCATATACACATTGAACCTTGTATTTTAAATCAACATTAGATTGTAAAAATGATGATGACTTTCATTCAATGATAGTAATGCTCACTCCTTTGTCTATTTTTTGTTTGCTGCCATTTACACACATGATCATTTAATTAGTTTTTTTTATTTTGTGGGATAATTAAATATTATTAATCAAAAAGGGATGAAGTTGATAAAACACAATCTGTACCTTCAACTATTTATAATATTTACACTAAAAAATCCAAAAACAATGTTCATCATTACCAGTCTTCACAATTCTTTTGGCTTAAAATATGTTCGGCATTTTTCTGCAAATAGCTTGGTGGTTTTTTCTCGTATAACTTCTTCAACACTAAGCTCAGTTTGTAAGAGGCGTAACTGAAAAAAAAAACGTTGACTAAGTTAAATTTTTTGTTCATACACCTAGATACATAAATATTGTTTTTAGAGTAACTGCTTACCTTCTTTTGTTCAGCTTTAAAGTTTTTAATTGTCTCAAAATCATCAGGTTTCTCGTCTTTTACTGATTTCAGTTTCTTTAATGTTTCAGCAGTAGCAACAATGCAATTTTTAATAACACTTTCTCTATCAGAGTGCCCTTTCTGTATCTGAGAGTACAATTCTTCGCAAGCCGATGAAGCGTCTACTTTGCTTCTAAATGATTCAGTTGGTATGGAGGTGTTTAGTGCATAAACTATTTTATCATCAAGAACTCGCATTTTCTTCAGGTTGTCCTATTGCGGAACACAGAATTCATTAACAATAATTTCGCAGGTATAGTTACAAACAAAAATTATATTAATAAGTACTTATTTCATATTAATAATACAATTTCAAGTTACACCGAATAGGTTTGACGATAGCTTAGAACTGATTTAATACAACCATTGTCTACTAAACTATAATTGTAACTTTAACAAATTAATACAAGTACATACCTGAAATTCTAAAAAATCTGAGCAAATCATTGGGGCAGCCGGAATTAGATTACAAATAAAAAAGAAGTTAGGTTAGAACGGTATTTCGTTCAATTTCGTTCATTTTTTTTTTTTTTTTTAAACAGATTTAACGGCTTCGGATAGTATCCTTACGGCCAATTCTTTAGTGAGATATTTCTTTCTTTGTATTTTCATTCATGAGTACTTTCCGAGTGTTTTCAATGGATTTCTGTTCTTCTGTATCTTAGTTGAAATGTCTTCATAAATTTATATGTGTATTTACAATGTACTGGTAAATATGTGGGTACGTCTTTTCATTCGCTAGTATGGATGGCAAGAGGCGGGGAATATTTTCATCTTCTTGATAGATCTTCAGTAAGCCATCCACTAGCAGAAGCCTTTCCAAATTAAAGGCTGGGCACTGAAGAATAAGATGGTCTAAGTCTGCCGCATCTGCCTGGCAAAATTCACATTTATCTGTAGTGACCATTTTAATCCGTTTAAGGTGGGTTGGAAATTTTGCGTGTCCAAGTCGTAAGCGATTCATTGTAGTGATGAAACTTCTTGAGGTAGAACTTTGCGACTTGCAGTACCATGGTTTTCTTGGAAGTTTCTGTTGTATTTGTCCATACCATTTTCCTTTGGTTAATTTAGTGATATTCCACTCTTCATGCCAATTATCGAACATACGGGTTTTCAAGATGGAGTCATAGTCTGAGATGGGTACAGGGGGCGCTGGATACCGTGAATCGCCACTATATGGACTTTCTATCTTCATCAATCTGTCCACTATTTCATTGCCAGTAATCCCAGAATGCGAGGGGACCCACATAAACTCTATTTGCTTGCAATCATTATTCAATAATATTTCTCTTATTTTCGTTATGTAGATGTTGGTCTTGTAATGAATATGAGTGTTTTGAAGACAAGTGAGGACACTCAAGGAGTCGGTAACAATCAAGAAAGTATTCTCATCTCTTATTCCTCCAATATATTGCAATGCAGTATATATTGCATAGGCTTCCGCTGTGAAAATTGATGCGTTCTTATCAAGTGTAAAACATCTCCCAAACTTAACTCTTGAATCATAATACGCTGCTTTAGTGTTTTCCTCAGTTTTAGAACCGTCTGTGTATANAAGAATCAGCATATTTAGGATCCTTATCCGGTTTGAGAATAGGAACTACAGCGATAGTTTTCCATGACTTTGGTATTAAGCCAGCGGACCACAAATTGTTGAAAATATTAAGCAAAATTAATTTAGCTGAAGGGTCTAAGCGTTTAATCAAAATATACGGAATATC